CGACATTCTAAACTATCGCGTTCACAGTAGGGTGCAGACAGTTAGCATCAGAAGTCCAACAGATAAGAGATGGACTTCTTGATAAAGAATTGTTATTGATGAGACTCTGTTATCTGCATCCGCGAAGTGACACTGCAAATATTTCTCGCATCAATAATATAATAATCATGTTTTTAGATGCGCGGCGTACGTGCAAATATAGGTCCGTGGGTAACGACCGCCGATGTCGCCCTCAGTCCTCAACATCCGAGCCACGCACCTACTTACTTGTCGGTCGGTATTAGCGGCTCAGGCGGGCCGGGACTGGCAGGAAATACTCGGCAGCGTTTCTCTTCTTTATTCTCGTCCGTTGCGCGAAGCCGTGGTCACCCTCCCCCGTCGCCTCCTCCGCCCTCGCTCAGTTGCCTGTTGTAGACTGGGTTGCCATTCACTGACTCCGATGCCGCTATCCGCTCTCCGAGTTTGTAACTGTTTGGTCGCGAGCCGGTGCCCGTTTCGCCCGGCCGTTGGTCGACGCGACGTCGTCCGTATCGTCTCGACGTCCACTGTGTCAGTGTCCCGCTCACAGGACTGTCGGTAGCCATAGTGGTTTAGCCGGGATCTAGACGCCTCTGGAGTGTATAGAGGGTACGGTGCGTGTGCCGCTCGCGTCGTGGTTGTTCCTTCCAGCCACTAGCGTTGATTGCTGTTTGTACATAACGACGAGGTAGACGTTGCCTTGACACGACCTGGCAAGCATTCAAGCGGCATTCGTCGTCATGATTTAAAAACCGACGCAATCGGTCGGTAAGTAATAACGCGAGGACGTATCGCCAGTGAGACACGTTACGTATGACTCGCGTTGACTTGTATCTAGCGTGTGGGGTGCAGGGCGTAGTACAGGAAGCAGCACAGAATGCTCGCGACCTCGGACGTCGTCACACCGAACCCCCGCAACACAAATCAACTATATACCGCTATCACTGACTTTGTTATTATTAGCACAAGAGGTCAGTGGCAGCGTATATTATTGATGGAGAGCGCTCCATTAATCAAACTTTCGTCTACGCCTTAAGTACGCGCATTCAAGAGATATAAACGCCGTCGTTGTTATTAGTTCTATAGAGAAAGCAGCATGATGTATGACACACATACATGTTTTATCAGAAACAAATATTCTAAGGAAACAATTTTTTTATTTTACAAACAATTTCCTGTTATTTCCACAATGTTATCTCAATATCTCTTATATAAAGGGCGCAGCCGTTTTGCGGTGTCTGTTTCTCTGAACATCTTTTCCCCCCGTAATGAGCTCACCCCAAAACCATATATAGTTCTTAATGCAGCATGTCGCGAGATGCCTAAAGGCAAGGTCCCAAAAAAAAAAAAAAATATACACAAAATAAAAAAGTTTTAAATTCCAATTAAAATTGTTTATTATTTTAAGAAATGTCCGCGAGGTGGCGCTATATGCCGTTCACTGCTCATCCATCAACTGCATGTTGAATTTGCATTTTGACCGCTATTTTTCTAGCTGTATTGTCGACTATTTTTGTTAGTTTAAACAAATTTAGCTTCGAAGGAGAGACAAAAGCGTCGTACATGACTACTGCTGAAAGGTATAAATGCTCAACTTGCTGCTTATTTTTTTCGCAGGCACTCAGGTACTTCGTATTTTCGAGTTTTTCGTATTTATCTCGGCAGTGGCTACGGGTACGGTAGCCGTATCTTAATGTCTCGAGGCTACGGGTACGGGAGTCCATTCGCTTTCATACTTAACGAGACAAAGATGGCGGCGGTGGCGCTTGATTTCGAAATAACGCCTCGTGAAATAAATTCACGATTTGAGAGTTTAGATGAGCTAGAACCCTAACCCTAACCCTAAACCTAACCCTAACCCTAACCCTAAACCTAACCCTAACCATAACCCTAAACCTAACCCTAACCCTAATCCTAACCCTAACCCTAACCCTACCGCAAAAAAAGGGGCTTGAACGACCGACGGCTATCGTACCTCCAGCCACTGCGATTTATCTCCTACAATAAATCGCCGGATCTATCTGTCTGTCTGTCTTCTTGAGACCAGTAAGAGGTCACCCGTGAGGTATATTCTCAGTCAGCATGATGCGACGACCATTTTAAGCCAAAAACAATTTGCACAAAAACGCCAAATTAAGGGCAAAAAAACAAACAACAGATTTCGGTAAAAGTAGCGTTTACACACCCATGTCGTGAGTTTGGTTAGGGTTAGGGTTAGGGTTTTTAAACTTGGGGTTGTCAAATAGGATTTGGCCCAGATTTCCCCCAAAAAAATACTAGCACAGCAGAAAAGTTAACAATAACAGCAATCCTAGCGCTCGACTATATACACTGCAGCAGAAAAGTCAAGATGAATCCTAGAACTGCAATCCTATAGCGCTCAACTATAGTCAGGCTCAAAATCAGGCAATCGCATGAAATGCCGAAACGCAAGCAATAGAACAAAACGCATGAAATAGCAGAAAAGCAGTAACCCCCAAAAAATCCCGGGCATCGCCGGGTAGCCCAGCTAAACGCATGAAATAGCAGAAAAGCAGTAACCCCCAAAAAATCCCGGGCATCGCCGGGTAGCCCAGCTAGTAATATATAAACGAGATGGCATAAATGACTGAAATCGAGGCATTTGAGAGACATTTCGTGACGCATCTGAGTAGGCCTAATAACGAGATAAAACGTTATTGGAAAGTTTTAAGAACTAAACCACACGTAGAGTAGAATTAAGCTGCTGACATTTTTTTCTTCTATCATTTATTAATTTCTATTTTACCTTCAACAAATTTGCTAGGAATATTGTTTCGTTTTGCCCCAGAATCTAATGAGTTGTAGGGGGTAGCAACTGTTTGTATTGCCCAACCCCTCCTGGGCCACGGTTATGCAAATAAGCAGGCCGCACATCAAATACTAGAATCAATTATACTACGCTAGAATTGCACTAAGCATTAACATAAATATTTCCTGAGCGGGCTAAATCTGTAAAGTTGATGCGCATACCAATCACGTTCTCGGTATAGCTTTTATCATTTCCTCCGCAGGCATTTTGAATAACTGAAAGCCTCCGTTCGAATTAGCCATAAAGCCGTCGAAAAGCACCGGTTTGCAAACTGCTTTTTGGCATTAGATGCACAAAGAACGCCTGCGTGTCAACTGCGTTACTGAATATATCTGCATGAGAATGAAAACCACTGCTGACTACCACCACTCACGGCGAACTACTGTGAAACACGGCCAACACCCTCCAGTGATCGCCCACTACCAACGGTCATCAGCAATTGCTACCACTTACCAGCAACTATCATCAGCGATCCTCAACTATCTCAGCAACTTCCAGCAGCTATTACCACGCACCGCCACCGACCATCACTCACTGCCAAGTACCAGCCTCCACGGCTCACTATATTGCCAGCGAACGACAATCAACTACCACCATAACTATAACCAGGAGTATAATAATATATACATCTATGTTATACACTCCTGTTATAACCACATACTACTCAACCACTACTACTACATACTACCAACCATTAGCGCATACTGCCAGCTATCACCACACACTGCAAACGATTACCACATACCACCAACTATTACGGTATTAGCGCATACTGTCAACTATTACGGTATTACCGCATACTGTCAACTATTACTGAATACTGCCTGGTGCGTAATGGCGACAAAAAATCGAAAAAGCTATTAGCTGTCAGTGTTATCCCTGCTATAAATAGTAGTTTTTGCTAAATAATTTTTATAATTAATCAGTAGATCAATCATCTCATATATTTTAAATATCACAAGCAATATTTCTCTGGTGTGCTAATAACTCAATTTGTGTAAATTACCTTCAATTCGCACGGTTAACAATAATAATAACGATATGCAAAACTTTCGAATTAAGTTGCAATTTCTTTAAGCTGAATGTCGAGCCATGACAATTAGTATATACTACAATTAAAACCGGATTTAACGGAACCGTGACGTTAGGACGCCGTGTTACTTTATAATAATGGTCTTGCTGTGGCAACAGGATACAAACGGAAATTCATAAATCTTATGTTCGAAAGTAATTACATGTAGAAAACTGCAGTCAGACGGATGTCCTTGGCTGCAAACAATAATTTGAGAACCCACCGTCGAGCTGAGCAGAACTTTGGGTACTGCTAGTATATATTTATCCATTCACTCACGATAGTTTCTAATCACACTCCTATCGTCACCTCCCGCTGACCAAAATACTCGCGCGTCGAATTGCCGTTGTCTGCTGTCGTTTGTTGGTGATTTCCATTGCATTAATACGAACGCTGAGTTGCACCGCTGAATAGACTTCACACCGGAAGTTTCCCACTTCGCGATATCCACTTAGGATTTACCGCGCGAAAACGCAGCGGCAGATTCAGGGTCACAATGCCGGTGTCTCCTGCCCAACTCCAGCAGAAAATGGAGGCTTATAGGGTTGGGTAGCAATTTGTGTCGCTTCAGGCTCGGACAGGTTCGTCGTGTCAGCGGCACCGAGACAACAGCTATAACCTGGTCACATGCGATTCCTGTACGCATCAGGCACAAATTGCAGCTGCGCGGATTATTTTTCAATCTGTTGTGTATTATGCTGTTATATGTATAGTAGTCGCCATCGACCTGCAGCTCTTTTATATCGGACACAGACATACGCGGACATTTTGTCATGACCATTAAAACCGTGGTTGAGCAAACCATCGAACATGCTTCCTCTGCATGGAATCCATCAACCGAGTCAAATCAAGACCGCATACAGGCGGTCCAGCGACGAGCTGTACGCTTCAGCAGTAACGCATACGATTAAAGACACATAGCACTACGGCCATGCTAGAATATATCGCGTTGTCGACTTCATGAAAAGACGATGCGTTGTCCAACGGCATTCTGTTTGCCGCAACAGTTGTTTGAGTTAACACAAGCTATCGAACATCAGCTATTGAAGCGCACAATACTATTTTACCAACGGTACTCACGAGTTAAGGCGTACGACCAGACCCTCTCTACAATCTCCGTTGAACTTTGGAATCGCTGCCCAATTGACGCCGTCGCTCAACAGACGATTGAAGAGTTCCGGAATACGAGTCACGGGAATAAGCTATCCGTACCAACTAGCTGACAACCCACTACCGGCACGCCACTAAATGGCTCAAGACACGGGCTGATTACCAACGTCACGCACCGCGCCCACCAAAGACGCATATAGTCGCATACTCCTTCTAGAAAGAGAGGGAGGGGAGGATGTCCCTATTTAAAGCCACATTATGTCGTCATACATCTTTTGTACTCTTTGGGCGTTTCTAGCGCTATACTCTTTCGAGATATATGTCAACTAAGTATACAATGTATCATAACGACAGTAATTTTAAAAAATTTGGTGGAAAATATAGCTTTCAGAAATCCATCATAGTCTTATTCAATTCACCTTAAGTGTTTTTGTTACTCACGAAACGTTTATACTAACAAGAAAAGTGTAATATTGAAACAGTCATTGTTTTATGATATCATTTAGAAAATTACTAATAATAAGGAAATCAACGAAATTTTCTGAACCTGACAAAAAGAGCTTCGGCATAAACACATTATAGTAATCTAAGTGGCATGTTACAATGTAGGGACAATTTAGTGCGTTTATTTGGACATGCGCAGAAACTGTGTTCACCATTATACCGAACCGCGTTTGTGAACTTAAAAAGGTAGCTGCATAAGAAGCAACGAATCTACTTGATCTACGTTCAAATATTGTTCTAGCTAATCTCCAGCGTTCTAGGTTATACTTATCGCGGCGGCATGATGGGGTCCTAGAGATACGATAGCAAGATATCGTGTCACGACAAGTAAATAGATTTATTGTCTGCGAACAATGTGTCGATGCGTAGACGTGCCGAGCACACTAGAGCGGATGATTTCACCCGATAGTTTTACCATTGTGAACGCGGACAGCGACATGTCGTCATAGAACACTCGCTATGAAGCAATCGTGTAAAAAGACATCAGCGCTTTCGTTACTCGAGCTTCTACCGGGAGCTTTACAGAGAACATAGACGATCTCTGCAATGCGTACTTGTGACAAAAGCAGAGGTGGTGTATGTGTGTGCGCAGTCAATTTACTTGTATACGGACGAGAGTAAATCAAACTTGCTGATAGCGCTTCACAATAATTATGCGCACTCAAGCGATCTAAGTTTACCACACCGATGTGACTGGGTCCGCCAACCCACCTTACGAACCGGAAGGTGCGTGGTTACTGACGAACGCGTGCGCGCACCCATTACATGTCAGCACCCGTGTGAATGTTTGTTATTACGCTAAGTGGCGAAATTAATGGATTTATGGAAAATAATGTGCTCAGTCGTGAGGGCGTGTTAGACATAATATGTTTTGGTGCGCAGGGCATTGGGCATGTCGACATCGTAGGCCACGTGAAGAGAATTTGCACTAAGCGTCCATCCATGAGAGAACTATATCTTCCGTAAGCATCGCCTGTAAAACAAGCTATTATTCGACTAATCTTTCAGGGATCAGTAAAGAATCATGAAAACAGCAGGCACGTCGAATGCTACGCTAAATATATGCTATATATGCTATATTCTATATATGCTAAATGCTATATATGAGACGGCATCTAAATAGGCCGCACTACACTCTTTCCCAAAAGAGGTTAGTAGTTCCCAAACATATTATTTCTCGAAGGCTGTATAGAACGATGGTCGGCACCCACGGGTGACATGCGACACCGACACACACACCGACACACGGAGCTCCTTCTGAACGCCGTCCGGTATAATGTTATTATAAGGTTCTCGGTGGAACCTGCTGCGTGAATCATTGGTGGCTTGTAGTAGCTCTTGCCCTTGCCGATCTGCCTTCGTACTGCGGTGTTATTCGGGACGAGCTGACGCCCCACCTCACCCACTCTCGGGTAAATCAGCAAAATGCTGTACTACTGTACGATATATGGCTATGCTATAAAATGCACGACGATTATTTTACAGAAGTCTAACATCAGCATTCATCTACGTCTGCCCGAGGCTGGGTAATCTTTATAGAGCTAGTATTAGTGCGACTCTAACACGGGGTCTTCCACCTCACCGTATTCGCTTAAGCTACGGTGGTTCATAGTAGTACAATCGGATATCTAACTACATACAACTACACGTTGAACACAAAGCTGTACGGTTTATCTTGACTCGCACTGTTGACGACTTGTTTAAATCTATTCGGAAGTCGTAATTAACGCTTCCGCTATGTTCCCGAGACAAGTGCATTTTCTATTCAGACAATTTTCTGTTTGGATACTAAATATGAAGCTTGTAAACAATAGGGCGTCGGTCACCTTCATTTCCGCAAACATTTCCGGTTAATTCCAATAACATTAATGTCCATCACAAGAATCGTCCATCACAAGATCCGGACTCATGGATTCGTTTCAGCGCGCATCCATCACAACAAGAGAATGCCTATAGCTTCCGTATGCCATAGAATGTTATGGGTAGAGAAGCTACCACGCTGCTACTAGCACTCGCGCAAGCACACTCGCATGCGCGCACAACATACGCGCGCGCGCACTTACGAGTATATATATATTTACGTGTATATACGTGATATATATATATATATATATATATATATATATATATATATATATATATATATATATATATATATATATATATATATATATATATCAAACACGTGTACCCTACCCTTAGAAACCTATGACCCGTAATTATCTGGGCGGTGGTTTCCATAGCCATTCACCTTTGACGGCTTTTGTCTAGCTAGATCTGTCAAGCGACACAATATACAGTGCGCCAGCGGTTGTTGTCGGAGGGGAAATAATCTGCCGCGAATAGTTGTCGTTGACGTGGACTACGTGGCGGCTATGCGTACGGCGCGCTACGTCCCGCGAATAGACTGATTCCATGATGACGATGATTGAAACCAAGAGACAGAGAGACGTACACGCAATCGAGAAACCGCATCGCTTGTTTGTTTGATGCGTCAACCACGTTAGCCTGGATGAGCGCGGAAGGGAAACTTAGTCGTTGTCATGAGTTCTTTCGCACTGTCTTCTAGTTTGTTTACAGTCAAGAGCGAGACTAACGTTCCTGTAAGTCCCGCTCACGGTTCACAGGAGTCTGGAACTGTCTCTTAGACCGTCATCGGGCTGAGCTAAAAAGTGCATCGTGACCGGGTTTGAAATTCTTTCCATGAACATGTTATGCACTTGTATATCAACCCTTGTTAGGAATACCCCCCAATGAACTTGGAATCAGTCGCCACGAATATTGAAAGTGATATTGCGTTGTGTGAATTACAGCGGGTAATACCGCTTACACATCGATACATACACATCGCTCCTCTACATCGCTGCTAGTTTAGGCAAGAAGAGCGAAACATCTTGAGAGAACAAGAAATCGAAGCAAGTCTCTCTTGACCGTAACTTTACGTCAATGTTGTTCCATGAAAGCGACACTGCACGAAACATGTTTAATAAGGCATAGCCTAGCTAACTTTAGCAAATCTATTTTGTTATGCCCACACATGGCCAACTATATAGTATCTCTATATCCACATATAGCCTAGCTGTATTATCGCTCTGGTATATCACTATAGCATCTCTATTCGCGCATATTGCCTTTAACTATAAGTGGTCTGCATATAATTATATACAGTTCACCTGACTGCATAGTACCGCTGTGTTTACTGATAGTTAGCCAGTACGTTTATCCTTGAAGATACTCTAACCAGTCCATATGCTCCTAGAGCTACTATTATAGATGCCTGTTATTCGTATTCTCAAGGGCGAACGAGTCTTAAAATAATTGTTTATATATTCATGATACATGCCCGTATAAATTTCTTTGATACGATCTGCTAGATATGCCTACTGTTATTTGGAGACATTTTTTGAACCTGTTGTTTCTTGGTTGACGAGATGATGACCTTTGTCAACAGAAAACAGCGTAATAATTAATGACAGTTCGCTAATGATATCGTTGACAGTGATTCGAAATGTAACGAGTAACAGAAAATTGGCGAAAAATTCTAAGAGAGATATAATTCATGAGCTTCCACGGTGGCATCCATCGAGTAAGATGCGCGCGCGATGACGTAGTTACGTACGTGGCCTCGTGCATAAATTAAAATATCATATTTAAATCGTCACACATCTGATTTGCATAAGCAATCTTGATCTATACGCAGAATAAAAACAAGTTTACGTAACCAACAGGCACGTACGAGTTACTCGGCATTTACGTATGCATCTATGTTCAGCACGGTACTATGTGTATATTATATATATATATATATATATACACATGTAGCGTGTGATGTTATTGTTATGTAAAGATGGGCACTGCTAACTAAAACATTTTTCTTTTACACATATGTGTGCGATATCCAAGCTCGAGGAATTAGCCGGAAGCCAATGAATAAATTCCTCCTCTTTGCCCCTCTCTATATTTGTGTGTGTGTGTGTGTGTGTGTGTGTGTGT